TCCAGTGAATTTTGCAAACATGTTCTTTTCTCGATACCTATACACCTTCTTGTAGGGATTCCAGTTTCAAAGGAAGTTCTTGACTAGTTGGAAAAAATGTTAGCTAACTTTTGGGGAGGCGGTGATGAAGATAAAAGAAAGCTTCACTGGATATTTTTTGATACTATGTGCCTACCTATTCAGGAAGAGGCTTTGGGTCCTCATACTACAGACATTTTCAAGAGCTTTCAAAAGCTTTTCGTATGAAGTTTACCTGGTCAATAAGAGAGCAGTACTTTCAATGAGAAGAATATCAGAGAGCCAGGGGTGGAACCAGAAATCAGTGCTAGCTCAATTTCCAATCCGCCATTATTAGCCCTTAAGTATTGGTGGAGTTGCCTGAAAATAGAACAGATTTCACTCCAAGTCCTGACAACCAGGTTTGGAAGTAGCAAACCATAGGGGCTTTCAGATAGTTTCTTTTGAAAAAAGCAGTCCAAAGTATGACTCCCTCTTATTGACCAGGCCAACTCCTTTACTAGTTATTTCTCCAAAATCATAGATGTGCTTGACGCACATGGAAACTGCTTTTCAATGATATCGAAGCATTTTTGCCTCACAGAGTGGTTTATGATATCAGGAATAATGGTATAATCACATCTCATCAGGAGGATAGGGGGATATGGAAAAAGAATCGTAGTGAGCAATCCCACCCTGTTCAAGTCATCGGTGATGTTGTCATGATAAGTGTGGGAAGTCGATAGTGTACTCGATGATTGAAGGAACTATCGACTTGCATTAACTTTCCATGGCTAATAGGGGGAACTTTAATGTAATTGTGGATCCATTAGATAAAACTTGGGGATCGGCCTCCTGACTTCAATGCCTTTATTGAAGTAATGAACTTTGAAGATATGATTTTCTCGTTTGGATTATTTGATTGGGCTTTCAATGACAACAAGTTGACTTGGAGCAATAATCAAACCGATCAACATTGTATCTGGGCCAGACTAGATAGAATCCTTTTGAATGGGGACTGCCCGCTTCTATATAAAAGTCGTTTTGCTTCCACCAGAGTTGACCATTTGCCTAGAGTATCCTCTGATCACTCTCATCTAGTAATCTTCTTAGAAGATTATAATACTCGCAGGCCTGGGGTCTTTCGTTTCCAAAGAATGTGGATTCGGCATTCTTATTTTCACATTGATCTCAACCATTTTTTAATAAAAAAAAAGAAAAAAAGCATTTGGACAAGCAACGATTTTTAGTCATTGTGTCAGAGGGAAATCGCTTCGTCAGGAGCGATTTTGCCTCTTAGGTTTTAAAAAAATTTGATGTGCCATTTTGGAATTTTTGATGATTTTTTTTGCCCTTTTGGCTCCGGACTCATGATTTTCCTCTATATAATGCTAGGCAGTTTCCATCGTATAAAAAAGTTGGGTTGTGGGCTAAGATCAAGAGTAGTATTTTTTCATCAACTCATACGATATTAACTCAATTTTTGTTAGTTGGATTGGCTAAAAAGTTGTAGTGTATTGGTTCATTAAGCCAAAAAGAGTAAAGAAAACATGTTAAAGAGCTTCACCATAGTCCATCCAAAAGTGAATCAGGATTTAGAATCAGCGAGTTTAGGATAATCTTTATTTGTGTACATTTCAAAATCGCATACTGAATGAGGTTGTTAAAGCTCACCGGCCTCGGAAACTGTCTCGCAACAATACTCTGGATCCTACATTTGCTCGATATTTTGATTTAGACCAAAAACCTATCTCTAAAATTGGGTTATTTTGTTTATTTGCTTAACATGATGGTGTTATTATATCTTTGCTTTGATGATCTTGGTTAAAAAGTTTTATGGATCAATTTATTTTCTTTCCCCTTGTGTAACATCCTTTCAATTTTCATGATGATCGAAAGCAAAATGTTTTCATCTTGTTATGATTGTGAGGAAAACTTCTATTTTTTCTCCATGTATGTGATAAAGAGTGACAAAACTTATTTTTATTCGGTCATAGATTAGTCTTGAAAACGAGAGTTAACTTTCTGAGGTATGAGGAAGGTAAAGCGTACGTAATAATACCCTTACCTTGTGGAGGTAGAGATCTAGAGATTATAGGAAAACTTCTATTTTTTCTCCATGTATGTGATAAAGAGTGACAAAACTTATTTTTATTCGGTCATAGATTAGTCTTGAAAACGAGAGTTAACTTTCTGAGGTATGAGGAAGGTAAAGCGTACGTAATAATACCCTTACCTTGTGGAGGTAGATATCTAGAGATTGATTATGATCGACTCGAGCAATGACAAATATATGACATAACAAATAATAGAAAAGGCATAACATAACATTTACAAAAAAAAAAAAACAAGAAGCAACAACAATAATCAAACAATGCGATAATTGGAGCAAAAAAAATAACAAGTACGACAAACAACTACGAGAAAAATGTTGCTACTACTATTAATTAGGAAAGGGAGGTCACAATGTTAACATGTCATTCAACTTACATATAAATATCTAGTGAGTATAAAAAAATGCACTATTTATTTTATTTGTTGTTGAATGTAACCTACAAAATTTATGTGGCATGCTAGTGTTATGTATCCACTAAATATAGTAAAAATGAGTTGAAGTGTGTAGATATGCATTTTCAAAGTTGAAGTGTTTAGTTATTATCAGTTGAGGCCAAGTTAATGCGCCTATCGTATGCCTTATTTTTTTGGTGATATGATAATTGTCACGCCAACGTTATGCGACCACAAGATACGGTGGAAATGAGTTGAAACGTCTAGATGTGCATTCTGAAAGTTATTAAAAAACTGTTTAGTTATCAGTTGAGACGAGGTTAATGTATTCAGCGTATGCCTTATTATTTTGGCGATCTAATAATATGGCATGCTTTCCCACTTATTTTTGGTTTAAATTTTGCTTTATGATTTTTCCTCTTTGTATAATGCTAGGCAGTTTCCATTTTGTCACAATAGCAGGGGAAACTAGTAAATATGGCATGCTTTCCCACTTTTTTTTAGTTTAAATTTTGCTTTATGATTTTTCCTCTTTGTTTAATGCTAGGCAGTTTCCATTTTGTCACAATAGCAGGGGAAACTAGTATAAAAATGTTGGGCTGTGGGCTAAAATCATGTGTAGTATCGGTTCTTATCAGTTTAATATGTGACATACGAGTCATCAACTCACACGATATTCACTCAATTTCTGTTAGTTGGATTGGCTAAAAAAGTTGTAAAATAGTAAAGAAAAAATGTTAAAGAACTCCACCATCCCATCCAAAAGTTAATCACTCCACCATCCCATCCAAAAGTTAATCAGGATCTCGAGTCGGCGAGTTCAAGGTAATCTTATTATTTGTGTACATTTCAAAAGAATTTGCATATATATACAGAGTTGGAGACAAATGCAAATGATTCAGTTGAACTCACAGAACCAGCCCTTTAAAAGAAACAAGTAATTAGCATTTAAGAGTTTTCTACGATCGATAACAACGTTCCCGGACTGGAAAGGAACAATGAAAAAGAAGGCATAATAAGCATATATTGTTAAGAGACTCTTAAATGAGCAAATAAATTTTTGCTATATCACTACATCCTCTCCTTCCTAACTTGCCAGTTACAAAAACCTGAACCAAGAGAATAAGCATCAAATCCGAATTCTCCTCCTTCTAACATGGTTCCATCTTGATCCTGCATTTTTTCAAACAAAATCATTTACTACGTTAACACGCCAAAACAATACTATCATGTTATGTAGTTGTATTAGATAGCTATGTTGCTCCGACTCTTCGAAAATGTCAATGGGTGCCTGGCAAATCTGCCAAAAGTGCATTCTGAAGGACTTGATAAGGCTGCGACAACATTTTTTGAGAGTCTGAGCAATGCTCATAGTTAGACAGCAACAAGCGAGTTGATTTCTCAGACTACTAGTTGAGAGTTGAGTGACCATCTGAGAAATCAACCCTCAACAAACTGACGTTATAATGACCGTTAATCTTGGGATCTTTGAGAAGAAATAGCTCAGAGTATTCAAAATACTCACTTGTAAGCAAAAGGGACTAACCAACTAAGTTGAATCTAAACTAGAATTATTCAACTGGAAAGAGATGCATAAAACAATGAGCTTAAAAGTTGAAGGCATCAATAGATGCATTAGGTGTTGATATTGATCGATTCGTACAAACTAAATCCCCATTTGATGTCAATATTTAAGAGAATACTAGATCACAAAAAACTTTTTGCATTAAGAAACATTAGAATCAGACCTTCTTGTTACTCAATTTCGTCTTCTTTTGTTAGTATAAACATATTTCATCAGTAGACCATATAAAATATTTCTCAGACAGGCACACTGAAGCTCGAAACATAATTCTGTTGAGTGGAAAAGCTTTCGTCTTCCCTCATGAAAGCAGAAATTGCCTCTAAAAGGCATAGTTCGAACTGCTAGTAGCTTGTAAAGTTACTTTTCATTATTAAAGGTCTATTTTATGGAGAAGTTGACACATAATATGTGAAGACAGTAAAGATAACTAGTTTGCATCCAAGACATAAAGTTCCTCGACTGATTAACTAACTCTGGCAATAGAAGAGTCCAAGTTGCCACAGTAGAAGACAACCGGCAATACCATTTAATGGTGTTTTTTACTCCTCTTTTGTGATGGTGGTAGAGAGTAACCCTCAATAGATCTCTTTCGGTGTTGGTTACAAGGTAATACAGGTAGGTATAACTTAAATCACTCTCAATGTCATATAAACAGATATTTTTTTTGAAAAAAAAACTTATAAGCACATATTTATCTACACTAAAAAGACCACCAAGTTAAGTAAACATCCTTTCCTCAAGAAAGCTTATCTGATCTATCACCACAGCACAGACCGCGGACTCAGGTCAAGTATTGTAATTCATGTATTATTATTTTAAAACAGCAGTATTCAGGTCTCAAAATTCTCCTTTTTTTGAAAATAAAAGGTGTGGTGCCTAGGCCAGCTTGCACACAACCTCATTCGAATCTATGACTAAACTTCAGAATAAAAGCTTGATAAATAAGACAGAGACCAAAAGAGGTTTGCTTGCCCTTTTCATTTCACCCATAAGATCATCAAGGGAACCATAGCCCTGAGGAAGAAAACCAACTTGTTGCTTTGTTATTGAAGGAACTGCTTATAAGGCTGATCCTAATAGTGATGAGGCAAAATTGAAAGTCAGGTTTTATGTTCCACCATTTTTGCCTATTATTCCTGTTACTGGTGATTATTGGGTTTTGTATATTGATGAGGATTATCAGTATGCTTTGATTGGTCAGCCTAGTAGGAGGTATTTATGGGTAAGTTCCCTTTTTCCCAACTTTTGACATTCAAAGTTGTTGTCTTTCTAATTTGTTATTGAACAATGGATGAGTTATGGTAGCCTTGGAATGGCGGTAAAGTTGTCTTGTGATCAGGGGGGCAGCAGGATGGTGTTAACTATATATGTATAAGATAATTTTTTATGTACACAGATAGATGGTCAGCCTAGTAGGAAGTATCCATGGGTATGTTCCCTTCAAAGTTGTTGTCTTTGTCATTTGTTGTAAAAAACAATGGATGAGTTATGGTAGCCTTGGAACAACGGTAAAGTTGCCGTCTTGTGATCAGTGGGGAGGATGGTGTTCACTATATATGTATAAGATAATTTTTTATGTACACAGATAGATGGTCAGCCTAGTAGGAAGTATCCATGGGTATGTTCCCTTCAAAGTTGTTGTCTTTGTCATTTGTTGTAAAAAACAATGGATGAGTTATGGTAGCCTTGGAACAACGGTAAAGTTGCCGTCTTGTGATCAGGGGGGAGGATGGTGTTCACTATATATGTATAAGATAATTTTTTGAAATTTTTTATGTACATAGAAATATGGTCAGCCTAGTAGGAAGTATCTACGGGTAAGTTCCCTGTTTCTAACTTTTTGACATTCAAAGTTGTTGTCTTTGTCAATTGTTATTGAAAAATGGATGAGTAATGGTAGCCTTGGAACGATGGTAAATCTGTTGTCTTGTGATTAGGGGGCAGGATGGTGTTCATTATATATGTGTAAGATAATTTTTTGATTTTTTTATGTACATAGATAGATGGTTAGCCTAGCTGGAAGTATCTAAGTTCCCTGTTTCTAACTTTTGACATTCAAAGTTGTTGTCTTTGTCATTGTTGTAAAACAAATGGATGAGTTATGGTAGCCTTGGAACAACGGTAAAGTTATCGTCTAGGAGGCAGGATGGTGTTAACTATATATGTATAAGATAATTTTTTGAATTTTTTAATGTACATAGATAGATGGTCAGCCCAGTAGGAAGTATCTATGGGTAAGTTCCCTTATTCTAACTTTGACATTCAAAGTTGTTGTTTTTGTCATTTGTTGTAAAAAAAATGGATGAGTTATGGTAGCCTTGGAACAACGGTAAAGCTTTCGTCTTGTGATCAGGGGGCAGGATGGTGTTCACTATAAATGTATAAGATAATTTTTTGATTTTTTTATGTACATAGATAGATGGTCAGCCTAGTATGAAGTATTTATTGGTAAGTTTTCTTTGTTATCCTTTAAAGTTATTGTCTTTTACCATTTTATATAAAAATCGGATGAGTTTTTAGTTGGTAGAGAGAGGTGGAGTCGGGATTTTTAGTGTAGAAGTTCAAGACTACTTTTGCTTATTAGGTGTTGGATAGATTAGTTATAGACTCCCTCTGTGCCAATTTTTAAGTGTCTTAGTTTGATTGAGTATGAAGTTTAAGGAACAAAGGGAGGTTTTTGAATCTTGTGGTTTTAAATTAAGGATGTGTGTAGTCTTTGAAATGGATGAGTTTTTAGTACATAGATGTGAAATCATAATGAAGGTGAGCCTTGAAATAACTGTAAAGTTTTTTCTCGGTGTAATCGATGGGTTAGGCTATGTACATCACACACCCTTGGGTTGTAGCCCTTCCCCAGACCTTACATGAAGACTGAAAGCTTTGTGCATCGGGCAACCCTTTTAGATGTGAAATCATGTCCAGTGACCGAGTCTATCAACATTCTAGTTTTTCTGTCATTGTTATGTTGATCTGCTCTCACTTGTAACTTTCTTGAAGAGTTATATCAAGTCTTTGATACTTTTAGTTCTTTCAAGCCTGTTATACCTTATTTGCATGAGACTATTTATAATTTGTGGCATCTCAGTTTGCTGTTTATGTTAAATTTCGTGAATGATCCTCGCGTTAAGCTTGTTCATCCCATTAGATATCATTTGAAGCTTTTGCTGTCCTAAGAACCTGTACGTTTCATTAACGCTCTGCTGATTAGATTTTGTGGAAAACCATATTTACCTACCTTTCTCTTCCTCTTCTTATTGAAACGAATATTGTTTACTAATAGAACATTAGGATCATCCTTCCATATCCAATTCCTGAACTTTTGTTCCATGTAAACTAAAGAAGTCAGTAGTATATTTAGTTACACAGACTCCATATTATTTCAAGCCTTCTGTTTGTTAGGCTATCAGATGTGCACTTTTTTTATTTAACTGTGGTGTCTCGGCCAAGTTTGCACGCACCTCCCACCAGCATAGTACCGGGTATCTCTGTCCACCAAGGCTTGGACAAGTCGAAAAAAATCACCTAGTGTTTTTGCATGTTTTTTCCAACGGATTCTTGTTTTCCGGCTTAACAAAGTGTATTTTGTTGGCAGATATTAAGTAGGCGAACATGTCTTGATGATGAGATTTACAACCAGCTTGTTGAGAAGGCTAAAGAAGAAGGCTACGATGTGAGTAAGCTCCACAAGACACCACAATCTGATTCCCCACCAGAGAGTGAAGATAGCCCCGTGGACACCAAAGGAATTTGGTGGATCAAATCAATCCTTGGAAAATAGGCGAATGGCCAAAAAAGAAAACTATCCAAGGCTTTACTTTAGTGTGTTAAATCCTACATGTTTAAAGCTTATGTTTTTACAAGTCTTTTTCCTATGAAACTATGTAAAGTTGATAGTATTGAAAGTGTGTGGTTTGTATTTGAATCCTCTGTGAAATGTTGTGAACAAGTTTTGATAGTTCCCTTTTTTTATGCCCCGTGTCCTCCTCTGGCGACATGAGAGTGCAAAAAGGAAAGGAAAGGAAAGTATGGTGTTTCTCGCGCTTTTGGCATATCGGGCCCAGTGTGAGGCTTGCACGATAGGTTATTAACTACGTTTTCTTTGACGTGAAGTTTCTTGGATACAAACAAACTGGGATTTCACATCAATTGTTGGTATTGATAACTTTGTGTTGAAGCATTAAAGCATATATGGGACCATATGTTTGTTGGATTAGACATTTTGATGCACGGTTCATTGTACGTGTTTGGTAGAATTCAGCAATTTGAGTCGAATTGAAATTTATCGTACTGAAGTTTATCGAACCAATGAACATAATTTGTCAATGAAGTTTATCGATCCAATGAACATATTTTGTCAAAAATATACTGCATGAAAATTTATCAAAAGTTTGATTTACTAGACTTAACTTGTATTGGATATTTACTTTCAATTATCGATTACCAAATTAACGAAACTTATTTTGAAAATACCGAATTACCAAACCTTAGTCTAGTTAGACCCATGAATTGAACTAAAACCTAAGGGTCGTTCAATATAAAGTATGAGCATTTTGATAAATAATTTTATAAAACGATACATTATTCAGTTTTTTATTTTATAACCTACCTAAAATTTAACATTGCTTATACCGTGTTTGGTTGTAAATGTGGGAGGTAAGACATGAAAATAAAAAGCAAAAAAGATCAAACTAACTCTTATAATAGGTTTTTAATTTGCTGTAAAAGTCAACAATACAGGATTAAAAATAAAACATCTCTAACACAAAATTCAAAATAACATTCAAACATATAGATAGAAAAGGTATCAGCAGGTCAAATATAAAACACTGTACTGGCTACTACAAGGCCAAGGCAGAAACCTCTTCAACGAGGACTTGATAATATCTGCATTGAAGCGAGTTGAAGTATTTGCTTTCAACTCTCTCAGCGTCTGTAAGATTTTTTCATAAAACAAAAAAAGTTAGTAAAATATATGCAATTACATACTATTATTGAACTAGATTAGTGTCTGTTATTGAGAAATATACCTGATAAGAATGAGATACATCTCCAACATAATACATTGACCAAACTACCCATTGCATGAAAATATACTTGAGAATTTTTCGCTGCAACATATAACAAGAATTGTTGAAGTAAATTGAACGGTCATATACCACATAAAAAATATATATAGTTTTAAGTTACATATAGCCGGACATGAACGTGCTATCAAGTATAAAAAATTATGCACATCTGTAATCTTCCTAGATAAAATCTCACTATACCTATAATAGTTTCAACTTAGACCTTTTTAAGCATATCATGCTTTAAGTTTGCTTTTTTTTTTCTTTTTAATTACAGTAGAAAGGGTTCTAAAGAAGAATCTTACACTTTGTCAGACTATCAAATATAACTTTACAAGAAGAATTCAACAAAATTGAAATTATTTATATTACCTCTTCCTCTTCTTTGGTTGGTACCGAATCCAACGCAGTTTGAATTTCCTCTTCTAGAGGACCATCTACTTGTAGTTTTGTCATCGCCTGGACCACTGTATCTACAACCTGATCAAATATATAATCATTTGTTAAATACTTTTATTCAAGATGGTGTACTAAAACCAAAAACAATCTCACCTTCTCGGTTTCATTCATATTTCCAATATGAATCAGAAAGTATAGCATTCCAGGACTCATAGAGTCACTGGATGACCATTCATGATTTGAATTGAATGAGCACACTTCAATATAATACACCTGAAAAATAAACTAATTAGGATATATTACAAAGGAGATTTACTTCTAAGGAATATATGACATACCATTCTTTTTTGATGACGAAGAATGTCCGTCACTTTAATTCTCATGAGTGACCTCAAAATATTCAACAAATATCGATCCTCATCCTGTCATAAATACATATCCTTTTAAATTAAAATATTGATTTGTTGAATAATTTATGAAGTTTATATTGTCATACCAATGTCTCCTTCTCCAGATAAAGAGGAAAACTTATACAAATATAAGCTCCATTCCCACTGTCCATGGCCATAGGCACTTTCTCCCTGTCAAGTTGAACTTTGTTTAGAAATTTATTAAACTCGTGTATAGGGACCTATAAGAACCCACCCAAAAAAAAAAAAAAAGAGCCGATAGAAAAACAACTCCCCATATTTGGCCACATCAACTACAGTAAGCATGATATCTTGAAAGAACAAAAGCAAGACTAAAGTAATGTCATTTCAGAACGACAAGACTAAGGCAAATGTTCAACATGAAATTAAATTAAAGAACAAGTACTTCAAACAAGTATCTTTCAGATATAGATAAAATGATATGCAAACGCAATGCTCACATTGTCACAGCCAGAGGGAAATGGGAAGGTGCTGGTGTGAGCTTCCCACGTTGAAATTCCATTATAGGCACAGAAGGCCTTGGTATTCCACCCTAAGAACAGAATTTTCTCAAAAACATAACATACAAATATGACATTACAAGAATGAAAATTCCAAAAGAAACTTATGCCTCAAACAAAAAGAGAAAAACCAACCAAATAACGGGACAGAAGAGGATCAACAGAAGCAGAATCGAACTTCCCAATCATAATAACTCGAAAGCTTGATGGATCTCTAAAGCAATTTTTGAAATATTTCCATGCCTTTGATGTATCAACTTGGGAAAGATCCTCAGCTTTGAGGGGCTGATAAGAGAGGTTTATTAGCAAGAAAGCACACAAATAAACTAGATTCGAACTTAGCCACTGCCCACATGCCATGATAACAAATCTGATTTAAGCATTTTCCTCTTACAAAATGTCAGTCTTTTTGTTCCTCAAAAAGTTTAACAGAACTTATATGTCAAGTATTTTGTACTTATCTTGAAGGTACTAGGTACAAGGCACACACCAAAAGACAATCACCATAGCTGTTCAACAACTCCCTATTCAGCCACCGGGGTAAATTCATAATCCTCTAGTTCCATGTATACCATACTATAAATATTCCACAATATTTTGCAACTTAACGAAATATCTTGTAACTTAAAGTAAATTCTGAACACCAATGTAAAAGGTGTTTGATGCTTAGATACTAAAAACGGCAACTTATGATGTATGAAGGTTTTCCTTGTTAAAGAAATTGCACATAATTATGAAATGGCACAAAAACAGTAGAATGATATAAAAAGAGAAGTAGGATATGAAATTGAGAAAAGGCTAGCAGAAAGCACAGTTCCTAAATCTTAAGATAACTTGGTAAGACTGTGATGCAAATGCAATGCAGCCATTTTATCTTCAAAGTTAATAGTGGAAGGGGGAGGAGTGAAGCTAAGATAGTTATAGGAAATAAACCAAAACTATCTTTCATCATAATTCAAGATTTTAGCAACTTATTGAAGACTAAATATATTATTCATCAAACTTGGAAAGAATTGAAAATTCATTTGGTAATACAGACCTTGTAAATGCAAGATCCACCGCTATTGATCTCCTTGGCAGTATTCACTAGGATATCCTGCAGGCGTTGATGTCTGGGAGACAGACGCTCTCTTAGGTCATCAACTACAGCTTGCAAATCTTCTTCTTCAGGTTCTAGGTCACTTGTGAATAGAAAATATACAATCTGTAGGCATCCATGATCAAACAGAACCATGACTAAACAATAAACCCAACTAAAACATTGAATCAGAATAAGCATGTTAATTTTCTTAAACCATGTGAAACTGGAAAACTTTGTGAAGTAGAGCTCCCCCACCACAAAGTTTTCATGAAGAAGACCCCCTCCCAAAACAGTATACAAGGAAAACAGCACAAAAGCAAAGCACCCGCTAGAACAAAAAATAAATTGGAACATGAAATGTGGATATTGGGTAACACAAAGGCAAAGGTAGGCCTAATTCTGGCTCAAACGCACCAACTTCTTTTGTGGAGAACACTGACTGAACTTAATAAGCATGAATCTTGGAAGTTGAATACGAATAACAGATCTACCAACAAACCTGAAGTGCAAGTTTGATATACGATGAGTCAACAAAATTCGCACTGAAAGCTCTTTTATACTCGTCCACCGCAACCTTGAAACCGACTTTATCACATGCAGTAAAAAATCTCTCAAAGCTCTTACACAAGACATTTTGCCCTATTTCACATGAGAACAAGCAACTGAGGAGATCTTCTTTTGCCAGTTCTGAGAGACCTCCATATGAGAATCCACTCAAGAGCACCTGTAACAAGGAAATATTTGAAAGAAAAAAAGAAAACTGAACAAGCAGGACTAGGTGGAGCATTATTTTCCTAAACCAATCGATGCAACATTTCCCAAATCATCACCTAAGACAATAATAGAATAGATATTTCAATTATATACCAAATAAATCCCATCTATACAGCTATCAGTACTTTGTAAACTTCAACACCAAAACATTTAGATTAATTGATGTTTCCCATTTCAAAATCCTAGTGTGTGTGTGCTTTTGAAACTTGATTGAAAAGGTCAATAATTACACTCTAACATGGATGAAAATATACTTATCCTCTCAGCACACTATCTTTCTGTATTTAGACATGAAAGCAGGTGAAAAAGAAGATGAGAGATCTCATGAAAAAGAAACAGGGAAGAACATATGGAAGTATAAAATCTAGACTAAATTAATTTATTTTCACCCCTTTGAGAAGGGGGTTTGTCATTTCCTCCTGCTGAATTTTGCTGGGTGTTTTCATATCAACGTGCATACAATGCTTTGATGTATATGCAAGGATGGGAACATCACTTGCAACATTTTAAAATTAAGGTAAAAGGAGTTCCAATACTCTGGACAATGCAGGGGATTTTCAAATAACTGAAAAATGAATTAGGGAGATCGGGAAAGAGATTTTATCAGAACAGAACATCCTCTATTTCATTTATCTCCCCACAAGCACTAGAATAACAATTGCATTTTCTTCATCTCTCATCACCACAAGTACTAGAAAAGATACAAGACAAAAAATAGATACAAGCATAGATGCTGGAAAAAGCACTACAATTTACAGAAGAAAATGGGTGGGATGCATATTCTACAAGTGATGCTTCTCAATGTGTCTAGAGCATGGGTCACCAATAGATACAACAATACTGCATTAGCCTTTATTATAATTTCAAATATTTGGGGTGTTTGCTATGTAAAATGCATAAAGAATTAGGGGGGAAATCTATGTATAAGTATTAGACTTATACAGTCAAAACATTGATTGATTTTCACCCCCATTGAAATGGAATTCGGTCATTCGCTGGATTTTGATGGGTGTTTTATATCTACATGCATGCAATGCTTTCACGTTTATAGGCATCTATGGAACGATGAATCATCAACTTTCATTATCAGTATATTATTAAGGTATTAAGGTAAAAGGAGTCTCAATACTCTGCAATGATGCAGAGGAGTTCCAATACTTGTAAAATGAATTCGGGAAATTGGGAAACAGATAATATCAGATCATACATCCTCTTTTTATCTCCCATCAGCACTAGAATAACGTAATTGAGTTTTTCTTTCATCTTGCATCACCATAAGCACTAGAAAAGATGCAAGTCGAACATGGTATTCTGTATTCAAAAACTTACTCCTAAAATTTCACAGAAACAGCCATTTGTCTAGCAGGCAGCCCAACTAAACGTAAGCAACGGGGTGAATGGAGGGCCTATCACTGTTCTTTTTGGCACAGAATGTACAATACAAGAATAAGTCAGAAAATTCAACTAGATTTAGCAAAAAAAATAGATAATTCAGCAAACGAATTAAATGTCTATAACAAAAATAGGGCATGTCAGATCATTACCCCCTCATCATCCATTGTACACTGGTAAGTGACTTGCATCCCATTGGATAAAATGAGCTCTACAGCTCCAATATCAGAATGTTCCACTCGCTCAACAATTTTCCTGAAAATTGTGTTCATGAAAGCAAAAGCAAAAAAAAAGATAATTATCACTGACAACATAACTATAATACTCTTGTGTTTTGGATCAGGCCAGTCAAACGCAAGTGCAGAGAGGTGTACCAACTGGAATATCTTATAATTAGGATTACAATTACAACTTCCTTAAACTTTACAGCTTTAAATATGACCTAATTCGTTTACCTATACATACACACACAAAAACATGGCGTTAATGCCTAATTGAGCACAAGATCTAACTAAATTAGGAAACGAGTTTGGTTCAATTGTAAAATAAGTGGATAGGATCTGAGAGTTCCCATGTTTTGTAGTCGAAGCCAGTATGTATGCAACTCTTGATTACAAGATGTACCGCTGAATGCTGCATTGATTAAAAATTACATCAAGAAAGCAAGATATATTTAGTAAAAGGATATTTACCCTGATTCAGGCTCCATCTCTAGTATCAGATTGTTTGAACCCTTCACTTCTTCATCTGACCGTTGAGCAAGGGATCCCTCTTTTTCCAAATCAGTAATCTTCTGCAATGACCCCTTCATATCCTCTTGTGTCACGAAATTCTTGCTTTGAAGTATGATAACTGATAAATTAGATGCTTTACATTGCAACTCACAGAAGCTCTTCATCTTTTCCACATTGACACCTGAAAAATGGAGACTAATTACATCCTGCAGCTGTCAAACAAATCTGTCAATTACATGATGAAGTAAACTACAAAAACTTACTTTTAGTAAGAGCTACTATAAGCTGTGCCTGCAGCTTAGGACACAAATCACATTCACGATAATTGAAGTGCTGCATGGGAAAAGAGAGAATGAGTTCTTGACACTAATTTAAGAAATAAACAAGTACAGGCCATTTGAGACATACTCTAGTGTAGTTCTTTTGAAGTTCCTCTGAAGAATGATCAAGACGATTCCGGTATTCGGCCCCAGCGGTTTTCAGCCAAAAGACACATCCTTCACTTAGTTCATTTTCTTCTATCCCGTGGACTCTCAATCGTGCAATCTAAATAATATGTGCAAAACAATATTTATTGTGCAGTTATGTGCTTCATTGCAGAATAACTTTAATCGATTTATTGATCAAGAACACAGCTGCTCTAAAAAGATAAAAAGAATATAAGAAATACTGGTGAATTACCTCAACAAGGAATGTCTCTAACACCTTAATTGTTTCATATCCTTCACACTCCACCCAGACCACAAAATTGCTATACATCTGTGAATCATTATCTCTAGAGTACTGAATTTCTTTTGGGTTGCTCATGCTTAAAAGAATTTTCTTCAACCTTTCAACAATGACTTTCTGAAGAAGTATTTGTTGAAAGTATATGAACACCTCATTCACACGTTTACCCCATTGTTTCTCAAACATAAAGGAAACATATACCTGAGACATCCCCCACTTCACAAACCAAAGAAGAAGAAATGCACGCATTAGCGATGATTTTCCAGAAATTTGACAATAAGAAGATACCTCATGAAGGAGTTCGACATTGCTAAAACCAAAGACTCTACAATGAGCATGCAGTAAAGAGACAAATTAGGTCTTAACGACTACCTTCAGAATTTCACTATTGACGTGTGTGGTCAATCTAGGCTCACATTGTTTGAGAAGAGGGAACTCCAAATGTTGTGGCACGCCTCTTGGTTGCCTTTCAAAGTAGGTTCTAACCAAACCAATTATACTCTACAAAAGGAAATAGAAAGGAAAAGGAAAAGAAGATGAGTAATTTATGACCGTTGAATCAATACATAAACCTAGAGAAAGTTTATGACAAACCTGTGTTTCAGTTGCATCACCCACAACAATAACAGCCATATTGTTTGGGACATACCACTTCAGGTAAAACCCCTTTACAATATCCACGGAGAGATCTCGTACATTTTTTTCTGTGCCACCCAGAGGCTCAGCGTACTAGAACACAATATGGACAGCATCAGTTGACAAGTAGCTTATAGTACATTTAATGAACCAAAACAGGAAAAAGTTCAAGTAAAGATCAGAAGACACATGCAACACGTCCTTCAATCTATATTAAGAAACCGTAATGTGTAGTAACATACATGTTGCATATCTCCCCTTTATGTACTTTAAGAAGATGCAAAGTAATCATAAACTGTCTCAAATTCCACATTTCAAGTCAATGTTATACCCTAATTAACAGTCTAAACAGTACATTTAGGGATTGTACATGTAAATAGAGATTCACACAACCTTTGTTCCTTGATATAATTGAGCACTAAAAATGCGACTATGTTGTTTCTCAACAATCTGAGAACCATGCCAAAGCTCATCTATTACGATTAATTTCTCTTTCTCAAGTTCATCAGACGTGACAACAAGCTGCAAAATAAGTTTTTAAATTAGGAGAATAACCAAAACACAAAAAACAAAAAAAAAAACAAGGACGATATGAAGTAAGAACCTCTTGAGAGATTGCAGCAGTTAATGCAAGTGCTTTCCTCAAATCCTCCGAGTTGGTCACAGAAAAGTTATAACTTGTATGGTCCCAATATGTTTTGGCCTGTTGATGAGCACCACACTGATGTTTGAAAGCTTTTAAATATTCAGTCGCATCTGAATTGGTATATCCATATCCCTCCAGAACTAGATGCTCAATAATGTGCGCGACACCACGCTCATTTTCTTCTTCACAAACAGCCCTGGTCAAGAGTCATGAAAAACTATATCATAGGGCAAATCCAAATGCAACTATTATACATTTACAGTTCAACTATTTTTCCAAAATAGATAATAAATCCTCCATATTCTTTTATTTACTTAGACATTGGATATGCTGGAGCAGTAACTAGAGTATGATTTAAAAGTTCGTAATAAGCAACAAACTATTTGGAAATGTCATTGTTACTTTGAAAGAAAACAAAACCACAGCATTACACTATCCAACTCAACCCTCCCCTGTGACAAAGAATAACAGATCACCATGATCCAATCACCTCAACAGATGTTAGCTAGTTACTAGAGTTTAGTTACATTCAAACTCAAAATATATACATCCATGTATATTCCCTGTACTTGTTCTGTTTTCAAGTTCAAATCTCTAGTAAACACCATATAAAGCTATATATATCTAGATTTAGCACAGTGGCTTTCTCTGGTTTGTGCAGAACTGTTAACCTTAGTAAAGACACAACCTACCGATCCACATCCAACCTACATGTACATCTACAGATTTAGCACCATGGCTGGTGCACCATCCTCCTCTACAGAAGAAAACCTCCCAATCCACATCCAACCTACAAGTAGATCCAAACCGACGAGCCTGCTGCCTCAACTTCACAGGTCACCATCAAACTATTTTGTGACCCATAGGCCCATTGTAAGAAAATAAAATCATAGTATCTCACAGCACTTGATAAAGCAAAAACAAAAAATTACAGGAAGCTCGAAAATAGTACTATATTTATAAATACACTACACAAATGCTAGTTATTCTGAGAATGAAAGCTTCAAAACAATAAAAAATCACAAATAACTCCTATAAATCGAAATACTCAGAGGAACGAGATTACATACCCTGCTTTTACGATCAAGTTCACAAGTATTATATCTTTAGGTGTGCTATTTTTCTTAACATAGTATGTTAACCCATTTTGTAGGACGCCATGATGTTCTACTTGGAATGGAGCACTGGACAACTCTTGCTCATAATCCAGCTTCTCTATGGGCTCTAAAAGTTCAAACTCATCCGGCTCATCATAAGACTCGACTTCCCATTCTTCGTCTTCTTCTTCCTTATGCTCCGAAGGTTCCGGCGATGGTTCCATATTCACCGATTCAAAGCAAATTGTAACTTAGCTCAATGTTTTTTTTGTGCTGCTCTTCTTATTCACTTTCTCTCCCTCTCTGCTCACACACTAAGTACCTCTACTTTTATATGTAACATTTTAATTTTGTGTAGAAAAGATTTTCGTAAATATAAATTTAATTTGTTCAAATGGATAGTACAACAGCTATTTCTTTGCCACTGAGGAGGCCTGCCCCTGCACCTGCACTGCACTGCAGTGTACTGGGGGCTAGTCATCTTGTTGCACAAGAAAATCATACACTAGTGTCACATATATTATTATTATTCCACGTAACCACTTTGATTAAGTATTCGTTTGGACTCGAGATTTTGGTATGGATATAACATTTGTGAAAGTTAAAAGAGGTGATTCGAAAGATGCGAAGGGAGAGAGTGACGAGATTTCGGTGAATTATTTTGAAGTGCGTTAGCAATGCAGGTATGTTTGAAAAAAGATGGTGTAAATAAGAGTGAGGAGACTGAGTGTGTCTACTATCGAGAATTAATTTGTTCAACGGCAAAAGTTATTCATCTCGTAAGGGAATTAGTGAATAGAAGGAGAAAGTGTCACTTATTCATTGATCAAGAAGATCGCATATGACAAAGGGGTTCTTTAAAGATGTTTGGAGACTAAAGGACTACCCATACCTTACATTCAAATGTCATTTTTCAATTTTAATTCAAACATTAATTCTTTTTTTCAAGCCCACTAATTATGAATAGAAAAAGGCTCAGATATTTTATCGAATTTTGAAAAGAGGTTTATTTATGTCATTTTCATTTGAGAAAATATTCATACATGTTACTATTTGTTTATTGAAAATAGTTTTGAGTTTATAAAATTATTTTTCACTCGTGTTCATTCATGATTCATGGTCACGTCATTAATTACATTATTTTTTAAAAGAGAAAAGGCTCGGATTAAATATGCTATTGAACTTTGAGAAAATGTACAAATATGTTATCGAACTTTGAAAAAAGACTCATATGTCATGCCTTTTTTCAAACGAATATGAAATAGATGAGTCAAACTCTTAATAGATTATATAAATGAGAGTTTCCCATTTTTCAATGTTTTTTCCTATTATGAATTTACGACTTTGTTTCTTGCATTAGTGGATTACTCGAGCTGTCTGGCAGATTAAATAAGTTGCCTTCGTCAACTTATAAAGAAGTGGACTCGTTACAAGATGTTATTAATGTTATGTCAAATTTCTCATTGAATGTTTGTTTTTTATACATAAAATAAAAAATTGTTCGCACAGCCATTTCTTTTATTCAAATTTTAAACTACTGCGTACGTTGTACTCCTATTTATTTTTTTCTTTCAAATCAAAGTCTTGCATCAAATTAAACATGAAGTACTTGAAAAATAAACCCAGTAATCCTTTTTTTTATTTGACAATATTTTTATTTTTTATCCTATATTAATCCAAACAACTCTTTTTACGTCTTGCATGCATGGTAGTGCTCTTTCTTGGACGTGCCATACTTGTTTAACAAAAAAAAGATATTAAAAATAAATAAATGAAGAGTAGGACACATTCTTTAATGTTGGACATATTTAACAAGAGGGTATTTTTGGAATTTAACAAGAGGGTATTTTTGCATGCATGGTGGTGCTCTTCTTCAATCTAATTTGTGCAATGTATATACGAAGTTAGGGAATTAATAATAAAAATAAAAAAATATGCTTTTTGAAATATTTGAAGTTTAATTTGTTATAAATTTATTGAATCAGTGGGTTCTCCATTTACTTAATAAATGAACTACTTACATTTATGTATAGGTTCTATGAATTATTTTGGAGTATTTATTACTAACATGGTGACTTTTAGAGGGCTTTCTCAACCTATTAATTGAGTTGTTATCTATCATCGTGGACAAATACATCGGTGGCCCCTAAAAGTTGACACCAAGTTTCACTTAGACACCTCAACTGGACGATGTTCATTTAGACACTTCATGTAGAGTCTCATTATGTCATTTTGACACTTTGTGCTGACATGTCAAAGTGAGTGTGATACACTCAACAATAGCATGTGAAAGACTTAATTTAGTCATCTTTAATTTAGGAAAACAGAACAAATATATCCCGAACTGACGTAAATGGTATGTGGATACCTTTCGTCATACTTTTGGGACATTGTCCCCACTGCCATAAAAAAATTAGAGCATATATGCTCTTCACTCTAACGAAAGACTAAACAGGACACGTGACACAATCTTATCTGTCGATCTAATATTTAATAAATATCGGGTCGGTGGATAAGATTATGACATGTGTATGTCCGTTAGTATAAAGGGTATATATGCTCTAGTTTTTGGACGACAGGGGGACCAATTCCCCAAAAGTATGACGGAGGGTATCTGCTACCATTTACGATAGTTCGGGGGTATATTTGTCTTTTTTCCTTTTATTTTATTTTCTCTTCTTCTTCTCCATTTTTCAAGTCACCACCTTCCACCATTTTAAGCTTAAACTCCTTCAATGGAGGTCGAATTTTTTTATAAAAATCCATTTTCAAGTCATTTATTTCTTCATTGTATATTACTTTTCTAAATCTATCATCACCTCCCTCCACTTTTTTTACCAGTAAAATGAATATCAACACTCGTATTTCATATTTATTCTCTCTTTCTTTCTTCCTCTCCCTCCTTTCTTCCCACAAAACAACACTAAAAAGAAAGAAAAAGAATAAATATGAAAAATAGTAAAAGAAAATAATAATTTTTTTAAAAAAGCACAAGAGAGATTTTGAGTGTAATGAAAGAGACGATCTCCGGTGGAAAATGAGGGTGAGATACCATCACCGCTCTCCATTTTTTGGCCTAAAAATTGAACACCAACACTCATATTTTATATTTTTTCTTTCTTTCTCTCCCTCCCTCCCTCTTTCTCCTCTATTTTTTTCTCAAAACAACACTAAAATAGAAAGAAAGAAAAAGATGTGATACAATTTGAAAAAGTAGATTAAGAAAAAAATAAAAAAAATTATTGGGTGTAATGGAGAAGACAACTATCATAGGGCGGGGGAGGGGAGGGGGGTCAAATTGATTTTTTTTAGAATAATATTGCATTTACTAAATAGATTTTAAAATAATTTTAACTTTAAAAAACACATGTAATCATTTAACTGGTTGTTTGTCACGTCATCAATGAGTGTATTATATTCTTCTTCAGCTTTTTTGCTTATTGTCAAAATAATACAGCGGAACCCTATATGAGTTGTCTAAAATGAACATCGCTTAGTTGAGAAATCTAAATGAAACTTGATGCCAACTTTAGGGGGGCATCGATTAGACATATTTGCAGACATATGATAAGATGATCTCTATACTCTAGCTACTCTCCATGTCTTTGGCTTATCTTTCTTGTAATATATTGCTTATATTTTGTAACAAAGTTGTAATTATTGGATTTATAATACTTTTTATGTCATTCATAAATTGTGTTATTCTTTTTGTCTCAATTAATATGGCATAATTTTGAAGAATCAATCAAAAAAAAATTTAAAGCTTTTGGAATATTTGAATTTGTTAATTATTGAGATTTATAATACTTTTTACGTAATTTTCAAACAATATATAATTCTCCTTTTATTCCAATTAATGTGACATTGATCAACCAAATTTTTATATTTTAAAAATATTTAAATTGTTAATTATTAAATATATAGTACTTTATGTAATTTTTAAGTATGAAATTGAATTTTTTAAGTTGTTAATTATTGTCATATATAATTATATCATGAGTCATTACTGAATACTCCCTCCCGCAACAACAACAACAACAACAAGGTTTTTATATCAATAGTCACCCAAAGTAAGGTTAGAAAAAGTAGAATGTATATAGATTATATTTCTATTTCACAGATAAAATGATTGTTTCCAATAGATCTTCGTTTCGAGAAAGAATATTTTAAAATAGTCTAGAACTTTTTTTTAATAAAAGTACAAAAAACAATCAACAAATAGTAACAAAATAATATAATAGCAAGAGAAACAACAGATAGGGATGGCAATAGGGCGGGATGAGGTGGGTTTAAGGGTGTGAGGGGCGGGAGGGATGCAGGACGAGTTGAAGTAAATTTTTTTAACACTGGATGCGAGGGCTCTCAAGTGTGGTAGAGAATGATACAGGCGAGAGATTTAATAGAACATCAAATTTTATGGCAGGCGAGGAAGGGATCATCTTTAGTATGGCATGATAATTGGACAAGATTAGGTGATTTATACACTATCACAGGGGATAATTTTGAATGGGATGACAATTATGAGAGAATTGTTGAACTAGCTAGGAATGGTGAATGGGAAGTAGCTATCTTGAAAGAAAATTTTCCAATGGAACTGGTAGATCATAGTCTTTCCTGCATAAAACCGCCTAATGGAGTGGATGAGTAGGGTAAGCCCTGCTGGATGTTAGATACGAAAGGGACTTTCTCGGTTAAAACAACTTGGAATTACATTAGCCATAAGGAGAAGCCGAACAAAATTCATACACTGATATGGAATAAGAGAGTCCCTTTTAAGATGGCATTTATGATGTGGAGGCTATGGAAATTTAACATACCCATAGATAATAAAATAAGGAGATGGGGTATGGAATGACCATCAAGATGTTGGTATTGTGAAAGGCCGGATCAAGAGACACTATCACATGTGTTTCTAAAATTAGATTGTGCTAATAGGACATGGTCCTATTTTTGCTCTTTTGCAGGCTTAAATATGTTCTGGATTACAATTAAGGAAAGTTATTATATTATGCTGTGGTGGGAGACAAATGTCAAAACAGATACGCGAACTTTTTATAGAGCTTTACCAAGTTTTATAATTTGGGAATTATGGAGAAGAAGAAATAGGAGGAAGCATGAAGGAGAAACATATCTCAACCAAGAGTCAATCATACACAATATCACGAGAAATATGTACATGTTGATAAAGTGTAGGAGACCAGGCATGAGATGTTCAGGAAACTGG